CAAGAAGGCTCACCCCTGTGAGATGCATGGTTCGATCTTGGGGGACATTTTGCACATGGCAGATCAGGGAACACATCACAAGCAGATAGAGCACAGGTGTGAGGCATGGGGGAGTAAATCGTATGACAGTACAATCTTTCATCAGCACCAGAATCAGTACATTGGAGAGAAACCCTATAGAATCAGTGTTGAGGAAGCGTTGTTTGTGAAGAGGTGTAAGTTCCATGTGTCAGAGGAGTCATCTGTCTTCAGTCAGAGTGGGAAGGACTTTTTGGCCATTTCAGTATTACTTCAGCAAGAGGCCATTCACACTGGGAAGAAGTCAAGCAGCAAAACTGAGTGTGTGTCTCTCTTTCAGCGGGGGAAAACGCGTTACAGCTGTGGAGGATGCATGAAACATCTTAGCACCAAAAATGTTCTTGGTCAGCATCAGACACATCCCCCTAGAGAAGAATGTTACGTGTGCTGTGAATGTGGGAAATCCTTTAGCAAACATGATAGCTTTAGTAATCATCAGAGAGTTCACAGTGAAAAAAAACCTCATGAATGTGGAGAATGTGGGAAATCTTTTAGTCAAAAGAGCTACCTCACTCAACATCGGCGATTTCACACTGGAGAAAGACCTTACGGGTGTGAAGAATGTGGGAAACATTTTAGTTCAGACGGACATCTTAGGAGCCATCAACGAGTGCACGGTGGAGAAAGACCTTATGAATGTGGAGAATGTGGGAAGTCTTTCAGTCATAAGCGCAGCCTTGTTCACCATCAGCGAGTTCACAGTGGAGAAAGAGCTTATAAGTGTGGAGAATGTGGGAAATCGTTTAGTCAAAAGGGCAACCTCGTTCTACACCAGCGAGTTCACACTGGAGAAAGACCTTATGAGTGTGGAGAATGTGGGAAATATTTCAGTTCGAAAGGACACCTTAGGAACCATCACCGCATTCACACTGGAGAAAGACTTTATGAGTGTGGAGAGTGTGGGAAATCTTTTAGTCATAAGGGCACCTTCATTTTACATCAGCGAGTTCACCCTAGAGAAAGACCTTATGAGTGTGGAGAATGTGGAAAATCTTTCAGTTCAAACGGGCACCTTAGGAGCCATCAGTGGGTTCATACTGGAGAAAGACCTTATGAATGTGGAGAATGTGGGAAATCTTTTAGTCATAAGCGCAGCCTTGTTCATCATCGGCGCAGTCACACTGGAGAAAGACTATATGAGTGTGGACAATGTGGGAAGTCTTTTAATGAAAAAGGACACCTTAGGAATCATCAGCGAGTTCACACTACAGAAAGACCTTATAAGTGTGGGGAATGTGGGAAATGTTTTAGTCACAAGGGCAACCTCATTCAACACCAGCATAGTCATACTGGAGAAAGGCCTTATGTGTGTTGGGAATGTGGAAAGTTATTTAAGAAGAAGTCTCACCTCCTTGCACACCAGAGAGTTCACACTGGAGAAAAGCCATATGCATGTGAGGCCTGTCAGAAATCTTTTAGGCATAAGTACCAACTCATTGCACACCAGAGAGTTCACACTGGAGAAAGGCCATATGAATGCAATGAGTGTGGAAAGTCATTTACCCACAGCTCTACATTCCATGTTCATAAACGAGTTCACACTGGAGAAAAGCCTTATGAGTGCAGTGAATGTGGGAAATCTTTTGCTGAAAGCTCCAGTCTCACTAAACACAAGAGAGTTCACACTGGAGAAAAGCCATATGAGTGTGAGGATGGTCAGAAGGTTTTTAGCAATAAGGACCACCTCATTGCACACCAAAGAGTTCACAGTGGAGAATGGCTATATAAAATGCAATGATTGTGGGAAATCATTTACTCAGAGTTCTAAATTCTGTGTTCATAAGAGAGTTCACACTGGTCAGAAGCCTTATGAGTTCAGTGAATGTGGGAAATCTTTTGCTGAAATCTCCAGTCTCACTAAACACAGAACTGAGTTCACATTGGAGAAAAGCCTTATGGGTGCAGTGAATGGGGAAAGAAATTTAGCTGAAGCTTTTCACTTCTTCACCATCAGAGGGTTCACAAGAGAAAGGCCTTAGTGTAGTGAATGTAGGAAATCTTTTGCTGAAACTTTCAGTCTCATTCAACACAGGAGAGTTCACACTGGAGTAAGGTCTTGTGATTGCAGCAAATGTGGAAAAAAAGTTACCTGAAGGAAGGTCTGCTCTCCCTGGACATCAGAGAGTTCACACTAGACAAATGAAATAAATTTTGGCAATTTTGTAGCCATATCTCTCTGTTCCTTCAAGATCAGAGCATTAACACTGGATCAGGGCCTTACTAGTGTGACAAATGTGAGATATTTATGTAGAAGTCTAGCTTCATAACACACAGGAGAGTTCCCACTGTAGAAATGCCTTTCTAGCCGGGCGCGGTGGCTCACGCCTGTAATCCCAGCACTTTGGGAGGCCGAGGCGGGTGGATCGCAAGGCCAAGAGATCGAGACCATCCTGGTCAACATGGTGAAGCTCCGTCTCTACTAAAAATACAAAAAATCAGCTGGGCATGGTGGCACGTGCCTGTAATCCCAGCTGCTCAGGAGGCTGAGGCAGAAGAATTGCCTGAATCCAGGAGGCAGAGGCTGCGGTGAGCCGAGATCGCACCATTGCACTCCAGCCTTGGTAACGAGAGCGAAACTCCGTCTCAAAAAAAAAAAAAAAAGAAAAGAAATGCCTTTCGAGTGTAATGAATGCAAGAAAGCCTGCAGCCTTCTAATTGGAACCTCGAACATTGACATGAGAAAAACACCATAGATGTATATGGAATGTTATTTCTTTTTCATTATAACATTTGGGGGAGCTCCTTTGAGGGTGCCCACTGCCTAGATTGAATGTCATTTATTGAGCATCTGTAAAAGTTGCAAGCATGTGGCAGTTGCAGCGCAGTTTTCACTCAATCCAGTTACCTTACTAGATTTTTTTAGAGACAGGGTGTCACTCTTGCTCGGGATGGAGTACAGTGGTGCATTCACATTTCACTGCATCCTGGATATCTTGGGCTTAAGTGACTCTCTTGCTTCAGCCTCCTGAGTAGCTGAAACCATAGGGATGTACCACCATGCTTCGCTAATTTTTTAAGTTTTGGAGAGACAGAGTCCTGCCATATTGCCCAGGCTCGTCTTAAACTCCTAGGGTCAAGTGATCCTTCCACTTTGGCCTCCCAAAGTGTTGGGATTACAGGTGTGAGTTACTATGCCTGACTTTTTTTTTTTTTTTTTTTTTTTTTTTGAACATGAAATTCTTGATCTAGTTACAGAAGGATTTTTTGAGTAGCTTTGGCATTTCTTTGTCATTTCTTTCTGTCTGGTAAGTTGTGCCATGGACCTTACCCATTTTTATCCCAGAGGACTCTTATGTTGACTTGAAAAGACGGACTATGTCTTTCAGGGATCTTGTGGGTGTCACATCAGTCTTGACAGATTTTCTACCCTCCAAGTCATGATCCTAAAAACAGTCTGCCTCCCATTTCTCTGGTTTATGCTATTATGAAGCCTTATTGTTTAACCTTTCAGTCTTGGGGGTTGCTGTTACTGTGTGGGTGGTTCACAATCAAGTAGGTCCTGTTACCATGAAGGGATCACAGCTTTTGTTGGCATGACTAAACTCTTTGTGGCTCACAGGACAGTATGAATGCAGAATATAGCTTTCTCCACCTGTGGACTGTTTGACATAGCTGCCAGAGGCCTCCAAAGAAGGCCTTCAGGACTTTGTGGTCTTTTTTTTTTTTTTTTTTTTTTTTGAGAGGGAGTTTCGCTCTTGTTACCCAGGCTGGAGTGCAATGGCCCGATCTCGGCTCACCGCAACCTCCGCCTCCTGGGTTCAGGCAATTCTCCTGCCTCAGCCTCCTGAGTAGCTGGGATTACAGGCACGCACCACCATGCCCAGCTAATGTTTTGTAGTTTTAGTAGAGACGGGGTTTTACCATGTTGACCAGGATGGTCTCGATCTCTTGACCTCGTGATCCACCCGCCTTGGCCTCCCAAAGTGCTGGGATTACAAGCATGAGCCACCGCGCCCGGCCTGACTTTGTGGTCTTTATCTGTAGCATGGATACTACAATTAGTGGGTTCATAGGTCAGCTGGGTACAGGGTGCTTTTTGTGACAATTTGTGGAGTTTCTTGAACAAGACAAAACTCTCACTTTTATGAGGTATATTGCATTGTACTTGGTACTGCTGGGGGAAATCTGTTCCCCAGCTCTTGCAATGCAGATACATGTCCTGATACCTAGAATTCTGTAGGATAACATCACAGGTTGTAATGCTATAGGGGGAAATTATACTTTTATAGAATTACTGCATTTATAGGCAATTGAGGAGACAGAATACTGTGATTGCAACACATGTTTTATTATTTTTTGAGGTAGTCTTGCCCTATCGCCCAGGCAGGAGTGCAAGGGCACAATCTCAGCTCACTGCGACCTCTGCCTCCCAGGTTCAAACAGTTATCCTGCCGCAACCTTCTGAGGAGCTGGGACTACAGGCACCCACCCCCATGCCTGGCTAATTTTTTTTTTTTTTTTTTTTTTTTTTTTTGAGACGGAGTTTCGCTCTTGTTACCCAGGCTGGAGTGCAATGGCGCGATCTCGGCTCACCGCAACCTCCGCCTCCCGGGTTCAGGCATTTCTCCTGCCTCAGCCTCCTTAGTAGCTGGGATTACAGGCACGTGCCACCATGCCCAGCTAATTTTTTGTATTTTTTTAGTTGAGACGGGGTTTCACCATGTTGACCAGGATGGTCTCGATCTGTTGACCTCGTGATCCACCCGCCTCGGCCTCCCAAAGTGCTGGGATTACAGGCTTGAGCCACCGCGCCCGGCTAATTTTTTTTTTCTATTTAATTATTTTTTATTTTACACTTGTTCCACCTAAGTTTTTTATTTAAAAGAATAAAGCGTTGGCCGGGCGCGGTGGCTCAAGCCTGTAATCCCAGCACTTTGGGAGGCCGAGGCTGGTGGATCATAAGTTCAAGAGATCGAGACCATCCTGGTCAACATGGTGAAACCCCGTCTCTACTAAAAATACAAAAAATTAGCTGGGCATGGTGGTGCGTGCCTGTAATCCCAGCGACTCAGGAGGCTGAGGCAGGAGAATTGCCTGAACCCAGGAGGCGGAGGTTGCGGTGAGCCGATATCGCGCCATTGCACTCCAGCCTGGGTAACATGAGTGAAACTCCGTCTCAATAAATAAATAAATAAATAAAAGAGTAAAGCGCAAGGCAGCTTGTACCCTAATGTCAGGTTTCCAGCTTGCTGCTAGGAAAAGCAGCCTGGATAAGAGACAATGTGTATTATAAATGAAATCCCCTAAGACTAGACAACATGCGTACATTTCAGGTAAGGACAGTGAGCCAGTATCCCTTGTAAAGTGCAAACAATTACCTCTAGGTTAAGTACCTACAAATAATTGTAAGCAAAATTTCCAAAGTCAACTACCTTTAGCTTGGGGCTAGAGCAATCTACTCTACCTCCCACACGGGGCATCAACAACTTCCTTAACTCTTAGGCTGAATTCTCCCAACAAAATACTTCCAAGCTTTCTTTGCTGAATAAAAATGGCGCTGCTTTCCCCTCACAATATTGTTGATTTCTCAGTACTCCTTAGGCCCTTTAACCATCAAACTCAATTGGCCTCATTTGAATGCCACCGTTCCCTGAACACTGCCAAGTGCTTTTTTGAGGGTTGGGCCAGGAGGTAAGGGTGGCTGCTTCTATCTACAAGGCTGCAACTTTCTCAGCTAGAATCCTGGGGATAACTGCCTCTCACTTCATAACCTCTGCCTTCCCCAAAACTGTTGCCTCTGTCTCCCTTAAGCAAACTGTCCCCAAAGTGCAGTAGCCCTTAAGCTTCTCTGTGCCCCTCGCACCCATCGATGCCATCTCTAATGCACCATTCACACCTAGACCCACGCGTCACCCTTTCCGGGGGTCGTTCAGAGCCACCCACCGGGTAGGCACCACCACGCCGTCCTCTCCGGATCACACCCTTCCGCTCCATCTACATCCCAGCCTGTGCACCCGAAGGGACCCAACCGCGGAGTCCCAGCCCCGCTGCGGCGGAGGGCAGGGATCAGCACGCAATCCCTCAAATTTACATGAAGACCCTCCCGGGGGCTGTCACCGGCACCAACGCCCGGACCACCCTGGCCCTGGGCGGCGGATAGGGGTCTGGGGCGCTCGCTGCGGAGGCAGGGAGGAGGCCCGCAGGAGCGAGAGGTCACCGGCACAGGCTTGTCTTCCCCTCCCTTCCAGGGGCGGCGGGGCCCAGTCGCCACCTCCCTCCCAGGCCCCCAGTCTGGAGGCACCACGGCCGCAAAGGGCGGGGAGGAGGCATGCCTGACGCTTGGGTGTCTCACGGTACCTGAACCCAGCTGGTCGAGGGGCCGCGGCAGGGTGGAGTCCGTGGTACTGGCGGTGCTGGAGGGTGACGGAAAGGCTTAGACCAGGGACTAAGTTGGTCTCAACTTTGCGCCCGGCCGCCCGCCCGCCCGCGCTCGCTCGCTGCCTCCGACTTCCAGCAACTCTCAACGCCCGGTCCCCACCTTGCACCGCCTGGCTAATTTTTGTATTTTTAGTAGAGGTGGGGTTTCACCATGTTGCCCGGGCTGATCGTGAACTCCTGACCTGAAGTGATCTGCCCGCCTCGACCTCCCAAAGTGCTAGGATAACAGGCGTAATGTGTGTCTTTTTTTTGAGATGGACCCTCACTCTGTTGCCAGGTTGGAGTGCAGTGGCGCGATCTTGGCTCACTGCAATCTCCGCCTCCTGGGATCAAGCTATTCTGCTTCAGCTTCCTGAGTAGCTAGGACTACAGGTGACTGCCACGACAGCCGGCTAATTTTTGTATTATTTGTAGAGATGCGGTTTCACCATGTTGGCCAGGATGGTCTCTATCTCCTGACCTCATGATTCACCCGCCTAGGCCTCCCAAAGTGCTGGGTTGATAGGTTTGAGCCACCACACCCGGCCCAATGCATGTTTTTTAAAAGGGCATCCACAATGATCCAGGCACTATGTATATGATGAATATGTAGATACAGGAATTGTCAGCACTTCTGTAATGATGAATGTTGTTTAGCTGAGCCCGTTGTCAGGAGAAATCTAAATGTTTTGTGACTTCCTGTACCCTTTCTGGGCTGTTCACCTCAAGGTCATTCCTGCATTAGCAGGAGGAAGACACTAGGGAAAGGGGAGCTCAGTTCAGTGATGTGGCCTTTGTGATCAGCCAGGTTAACCAGGTAGAAATGGCCTTCCTGCCACATCAACATTTGTACCATGGAGGCTAGTTGTCCCACTGAGGGCGTGAGAAGAGTTGGTGTAGTCAGTATAGAGTTGCCAAACCTGTTTGCCAAAAATG